TGATACAAAAAGCTAAACAAAGCTGTTGCGAGCGGCAAAGGGAATGGTTGTCCATCTAGTTGTGGCAAAGTTAACGTTGTTATACAAGTACGAACCAAGACAGGGAGAAACCCATGATACGAACTAGCTCCAGTGACATCAATAATCATGTTCAGTCGCGAACCTGGTTTTCTGAAATCGGACAAAATTAATACATATATTTATTACATATTAAATGTAATAAGTATACAAAACAAGATATCTATGCTTACTTGGGAAAATGTGGATTACGATCTAAATGTATAATGCTTGTAAGAGTACGTAATGCTGCCGCTCGAATCTCAACAAGATGAGTATGTGGAAGTTCCAATAATTCAACCAGTTCCTCAAGAAGACCGGCATGAAGGAGACTGTGCGCATTTTCTTGCAACGCGTTACTGTATACAAGCACAGATAATGCTTGTAGTCGAGCTTGCACGCATTGCAACCGTCTTCGATAATCCGAGAAACTATGCGCTAGCCTTATATGTGTCAATAGAGCCATCTAAAATAACGTTTCAAATATGTTGGAAAATATCTTCTATGTATTCTGCTTGATTATATTTGTTTAGAGAGAGAGAGAGAGAGAGAAAGACCAAAACATCCTTACTTGTCGTTCCTGGGGTACATTGTAAACTTTCAAAAGATCATTCATGATCTGCGCTGGGGTTTTTCCGAGTTTATCAACATTTTCTATATGTATATATGTTACGAGATTTGTCTGACCAACTTTTTTTGTACTAGAAAGTGATGTACCAGTTGTCGATGATTCCATTATAATTGGATTTTCCGCATAAAATTCAAAATGTAATGTTGTAGCACTTGCTGGAAATGCCTATAAAATATAAAATTATATATAAATAAATTATGTATGTGCGCGCGCGGCTTTATATATATATGTGTGTGTGTACATATGTATGTATAAAGATATACACACATAATTTATAAGATTGTATTACTTTACATATTATTATATAATTATATATACTTACTTTTTCGGGAAATTCCTTGCAGCAATCTGCTAAACCGAAACCGTTTTCCTTTCCTCCCCAACTCTATAATAAAAGTTATTATTTGATAATTATACATTATCTTGTATCACAAATGAAAATATGAATTTAACTCACTAACCTCTGCTAAATGATTGAGCCTGCTAAGCAAAGCTTGACGTTTATCATTATTTAGACGTGTAATAAAATTACTGCGTTTACTAAACATGTACAGAAGATTTAATACACCAAGGACTACATGCATGTCACAACTTGATAGTAAAGTGACCAAATGTTCCATGCTGTTGTATAAGTGCCGTGAGAATGAGTGCTCAATCAACAACGTCGTGAAGTGGAGAACCCAAAGAAGCAGCTCTTTTGCCTGTGTTATCAAGAATTAATAACCATATATAGATTATCTTAATAACATTAATTTGTAATTTTACATTTTTTTTAATCAGTCTATATTAATAAGTAAACTGTTTGTTAAACAAACCTCTCTATTTTGAGGAAGATCACATGCTAATTCCCATGGATTATCCGGACTTTTTGCTGCAGCTTCTTCTAAAATACTGTCACTGAGATCTAAGACATCTATCCAATGAAATAATTCACATTTTCCAAAAGTCCACGCATCTATCTGCTTTAGCTCTTCTAGCAGTTCTGCATGTGAGCAAGAACGTAGTTTGCTTATAAGTGCTTGACATTCTGCAGGCTAAATATTAATTATATCATTATTTATATCATATTGATCTGAATGAAATGTGTGAATACGTTTTGTATTTTAAAATACAAAATATGCAGTTGATTAAATTCTTACAAACTAAAATTATCGAAATTTTTGTTGTTTAATAAAGTATAATAGATTTAGATCATTATTAATATTAGAAGTAGAAAATTATGCAATTTTTTCAGAAAAATTAAGTAATTTTATTTAATATATATTTATACACAATTATAATTATATTGTATGGGTGTTGCCACACACATAAATTTTACTGATATTTGAAATTATTTAAATAGAAATATGTGCATATCTATATATTTACCACTTCAGAAGTGCATTTTTTCAATCTGCTCCGATCAATTTTCATTTTGGTATGTTGATCTGTCCTTCCCAAATTTAAAATCTAGAATCATTGTATAAATATTGTATTATTAAGTTTATAATACAAATTTCATTCAAAATTAGTAATTTAATTAAAAATATGTGATATATAAAGTTCTCTCTTGATATGTGATAAAAGATATTTTAGAATGATAAGCTTATATCATTGTGATTCACACGACTGATGTGATTGATAATATAAGAAAATACAAATGATATTAAAAATATAGAGAAATGATTTTGTCAGCTTGTCATTAGAAAAATTGACAATATAATTATTATTGTACAGTATTATTGCAATTATATTCAATAAATATTGTAATTAATAATTACTTAATATCATAGATAAAGATAAAAAATTGCAAATGTTAATGATAATTAGTATACATTCTAATTCAATCATTTAAAATATTGTACAATATTTGTACATGTAATATTTTATGTGTAAATTAGATATATTAACAATAAGCCAAATTCTCTATATCTGACAAATTAATCTCAAGAAAAAATTTTATTGTATAAAATTATAATATAACTTATTAGAAACAAATATATAGACACTATGTTTATTAATATATAAGTTATTTATGAGAGCGCACATGTTTTGGTAGTATGACCTGCAGTTTGTACATAGATAATGTGTATAAAAAAATATAATAAAATTATATACATATAAATTATTTAAAAATATTTAAGTCACATATCTATATACAAATTAAAAAATGATAATGTACAAAATGCAGAATAATTTTAATGTATGTATAATACATATCATTAAAACAGTGTATATTTGTGTGAATATATCTTAAGAAAATTCTAATAATCTATTCATATAATCATCTAAAGCTAAGATGGTATTACTGTATTGTCTGCGATAAAGCGTGCACATAAAACAAATCATATGCTTCTACAACTACCAATAGATATCTATAACTTACAATCATAAATTGTTCTTTATAACTTTATACTCTTATATCTAACTTTATAACATTGTATGAATATTATTAAATATTTTAAATATAAAAAGATATAATTAAAAAATAAGTCAAATTGTGTAGAAAGATATGAAATTACTGCTGGATCAAAATCGATTCTAAATATTTGTATATACCTATGTAAAAATAATGAGCTATAACAAAGAATCATATATTGCGAATAACAAGTATTATGTACTATTATATAAAACTATTAATGTGTGTAATCGTGCAATAAGTTGTAAAATATTTCGCATAAAACAACTTTTTTAACAAGAATTCTATTCCTCTATCTAGGTCAAGTCTCTCTTTTTCTCTTTGTATTAAAATAATCCATAAACCTAAATGCTCGCATTCTTCGTAATACTTATTCCGCAATTATCACGCGATGTAAGAAGGAAAACGATGCGTAGATTCGTTAAATCGAGATCACGCTTTAATCTGCACAGTCATCAGTGAGACAAAACGGTCGATCTAACCTATGCGTGAAGTTTCAAGGAACAATGGGTAAAATGACAACAGATCGAATGACAACACCCTGGCGGCGATCGGTTACACTGTCAGATTTCTTGAGACCTGTGCGCCCTCGTAAATAAACGTCTGAAGGTGAAAAGAGGCGTGATGCCGTTTCGAACGCCACGACGGTTAAACGGAAGAAAGAGTTTCTCTCTCGAGCGAGCCAAGAGAGAAAAAAAAGTCGCGCGCGCGCTCGCGTACATCGAGAGAAAGAGAGCAAAAAAAAAAAAATAAGAGAGAAAGAGAGAGAGCGACGTGTGTGTGTATGTATGTATGTATGTGTCTCTCTCTCTCTCACCTGGCGATAAGCCGTCGTAATTCCGTGCTCCCAATTTTCCTTCGTGATAACGAAACACCGTCGCTACAATTGGTAGCCTCTTTCGTCGAGCTCGCGTTCCGTTCGATGCGCTTCTTCACGTCAAGAGCGTGGCGGCGCGACACGGGCATCGCGGTCGCGTTGAATCCGCGAGCCCGAGATCACTTATTGGATCACTGCTGCTGTTGCTGCTATCCCCTGTTGCGATTCTCGCCAGCTTTTTGTCATTAACGTGCACCCGCAGTAGACTCCTCTCGCACGTTGATAGTTGCCGCGGTACCGCTTCACGACAAAGACACGGAGAATGCAGGAGGAACGGAATAGACAAGGAGACGAGGATGGGATGATGTAGTATAGTAGAGGGGGGAGGAGAGAAATGACGAATGGTGGGAGGGGGGAGGAAGGGGAGAGTATACCGAAGAGGGGCCGGCGATCGGGGATGCACGGAACTGACGATGATAGCCGCCGCGACACGGATCACTCTCGCAGCACGGCCGTGTCAAAACAAAATCGTCAACCGAGCACGCAGGGGCTGTCCGTCTCCTTTTCTTTTTTTCTATTTTTTTTTTTTTTCCTTCTTCCCCTAACGCTCGACGACGATGCCGATCACACCGCCATTTTAGCGAGACACATTCCACACGACGAATCGTCGCGTCTTCTTTAACCTTGACGAACAGACAGGGTCCGAGCACGTTATACTGGGCCCTGAGCAATCGCCATCGATGTTTCTCGAACAATCTCGCTATGTCTCTCTCTCTCTCTCTCTCTTTCTCCCCTCTCTTTCTCTCGCTCGCACGCGAGTTCACGACCTCACCGCGGCACGATACTCGTCTCGCTCGACGTCGTCCACACGTACGAGAATTCGCAATATATATGTATTATTGTGTCTAAAACACCACGCTAGTTTACGTTTAATATCGTGTTCATGCGTATACATGTGCGCGTACGCACGCATACAATCGCTCGCGCGTATCGCGCCGTTGAACACAACCTCCTCTCCGAAAATGTTCACCTTCAACGGGTTAGCTCTCGCAGGACTCTGGATGCTCGTACATGTACGGTGATATCGTCGATGCGCATTTCCTTCTTCCCCTAACGCTCGACGACGATGCCGATCACACCGCCATTTTAGCGAGACACATTCCACACGACGAATCGTCGCGTCTTCTTTAACCTTGACGAACAGACAGGGTCCGAGCACGTTATACTGGGCCCTGAGCAATCGCCATCGATGTTTCTCGAACAATCTCGCTATGTCTCTCTCTCTCTCTCTCTCTTTCTCCCCTCTCTTTCTCTCGCTCGCACGCGAGTTCACGACCTCACCGCGGCACGATACTCGTCTCGCTCGACGTCGTCCACACGTACGAGAATTCGCAATATATATGTATTATTGTGTCTAAAACACCACGCTAGTTTACGTTTAATATCGTGTTCATGCGTATACATGTGCGCGTACGCACGCATACAATCGCTCGCGCGTATCGCGCCGTTGAACACAACCTCCTCTCCGAAAATGTTCACCTTCAACGGGTTAGCTCTCGCAGGACTCTGGATGCTCGTACATGTACGGTGATATCGTCGATGCGCAATTGTGCATAGATCCGCGCGTCCCTAGTTCTCCTCTCTTTTTTTTTTTTTTTTTTATTTTTTTTTAATTTTTCTTTAATACAATACGCCGTAACACAAACTGATCCTCACATTGCGTGTCACTTCCACCGCTTCCACTCTTCGAACGATACACGCGACAATAATGCGCAACCGTGACGCTTCCGAATGATCTCTGCGAAAGTGCACGAGTCGCAATGATGCGTCGTCCAATGTGGATTGGATATAGATACACGAGCGAATCCGCTGCTGACGCGATCGTCGGTGGACCTATTAAAAATCAAGTCTTAGAAATTGCCATCGCACGCCTATTTTATGTACTTACTTATTGGCTTCGGGACAAAATTCTGACAAGAAAATTTGTCCACGTTATTGGCAACGTCTTTTATAAACTTATATCTCTTTAATGAAAAGCCCGACTTAAATACGCAAACTGTTCGGATCTCCCTCCTTTTCAAAGGAAAGGAGAAGGAGAAGAGAGGAGGGAGATTACTTTATCTTTAAAGTTTTATATGTGTACAGTGTATGTAATTCAAATATACATACATTTTTTTTCTTACATAAAATTTATTATTCACAAAATAAATAAATTTTAATAAATTAGTTCTTTCTTACTTTATACTTGTCAATAGATTCCAGAATAAAATCGATTATGGAGATATTCTCACCCATCACATAACGTGACTTCTTATGAATTTTTTGTGATATGGTAGTATTTGCAATACCATGCAAAATGCAATGTATTTTATCTAAATAAGTATCTATCTTACTCGCGTAAAGTGGCCCATTTCGTTCATATTTTAATACATTTGCATTGCTCAGTTCAATTAAACGATTTAAATATCGGGCCACATTTACTATTCCCTGAATTTTATGCATTCCTGGTAATACCATAATAGGATCAATCCCGACGGTTTTCCAAATCAAAATTAAAGATATATTCGCGTGTGCATTCATGCTAGAAAAATCTGAACAGAATCCGGCAAGCTCATTAGGAAAATTTGTTACTGTAGAATGAACATATGTTGACACAGAAACATTAAAATATGGTTTTACGAGTCGTAATAAAGGCTCGATGAAATAAATTGGATAATTTGGATCGCAAAAAATAACAAAATGTTGATTAGAAAACCTTAGCTTTTCTGAAGGATATTTCGCTGTTTGCTCGATCTTTGTTTCTTGATTTGACTGATCGGTTTTAATTGACTTTTCTTCTTGCATTTCCCGTTTTAAACGCATCATATAACGACTGGTTCTGCAAACAAATATAATAAATTTAATGTTCGAGTATTTTACAGTAATTATTTCTAATAAGATTTAATATTTTTTTATATATGATTATTTATTTTTTAAATAATTTACCTAATTTACGTCCACAAAAAAGGTAAATTCTATATATATAACATAAATACCTTAATAATTTTTAGAATGATATTTACTTCTCTAATCGACATATAGGATTGTTATGAACCATTTCCATGTCCACCTTTGGTCCAACAAGATCGCGTATATTGTTCAAACCATATTTAATCATTGTTGGTCTAGTTTAAAAAAATAAAATATATATTATACTTTTATATTGAATCACAGGATTATATGTGAATTATATTTATTTTATACCTTTCTAAGGACAAACCCCATCCGAGAACATTTACATCAGGAGGTACATTCAGTGGCAATAACAATTCAGGCCTAAACATGCCGCTGTTACCAATCTCTATCCATTTCTCCAAGCCATTGTGAAAACAGAATATTTCCATACTTGGTTCAGTATATGGATTATATGCAGGCTTGAAACGAAGCTGAGTAATGCCAAGCTTTTTGAAAAATTCGTATATAATGCCGATAAGATCACCGAGTGAAAGCTTATAATCGGCAACGACACCTTCAATTTGATGAAACTCTGCAAGATGTGTTGCATCTAAGGTTTCATTGCGGAATACTCTATCAATACTGAAGTATTTCACCGGCTTAAACTCTCCCTGCAAAATATTTGTCTTCATGATTCATGGTCCTTAAAGGAGCAATTAAAATCTGCTCACTATATACCTCCTGCATGAGTTTATATAACATCCGTGCAGTAACAGCTGTTGTATGAGTGCGCAGCAAATTTTTCTGTGCCTCTTCCAATTTCCAATCATATCTATAACCTTGAGATCCATATCCTCCTTTACTGTGAACAGTTTTCACACGTTCAAGATATTCCATAGGGAATTTTGTAGTAATACGTGGTTCTAAAATATATGACTAATTTGATATCTATATTTTCAAGTGTATTATTTAGTGTATCATGTTGTGATAAGATACCAGAGACAAAAAAGGTATCATGTGCATCGCGAGCGGGATGTTGCTGTGGCTGGAACAGAGCATCAAAATTCCAGAAAGAACTTTCTACATAATTATTTGTCGGCATCTCTGTAAATCTGAAACAAAAATGCTTTATATTTTTACGATGCAACAATCACTAATTATGTGTAATATTAAAGTATATAACAAAATTAAAGCATAAAACACACAATATAATACTTGATAAAATAATTTGATATTACTTACCCCATCTCCAGAAAAATTTTTTTAAATTCTTGACGTACTTTTAACAATGGATGCAGATGCCCGATCTGAAGCGCAGCACCTAGTGCCTCAAAATTGTACGGTTTGAATTTCTTGTTTTTCCAAGCACCATTTACTAATAAATCTGATGTTAAGTCTGCTTCTAATTTTTCTACTTTTATAGAAAAGTTAGGCCCTTTTTCCAGATGCATAATTTTAGTTACTCTATTATTTACAAAAGAAAAGAAGAAAATAATGAAATGTATGTCATTATATATTTTATATTGTTCTTTAACTTGTACAACTACTTACATATCTTGCAGAAGCTTTCTCTTTTTATATTCAGTTTTAACATTCTCTGGAATATTTGCAAGATCCTTTAAATGTATTTGTATGGTATCTACAATAGATGGTATTTTTTTTCGTACAATAGGAATGCTTCCACTTTTATCAAGCTCAATCCATCCGGCAACCATTGCCTTGGAAAAACCTACTTTAGCATAAGGAATAGATTTCATAAGCTCTGCTTGAGGTATTCCTTTATCAGGGACAGCATTGTAAATAACCGCTTCGTGACTGCCATGTTCTATTATATGTTGTCCTTCAGCTGTGATCTCCCATTTCTTTTTAGAGATTGGTTTTACCATGATCAACTATAAAAAAAAAAGTTATATTTAAGTAATCAAATAATCATAATCTAAATAAATTAAACTTTATAGATTAATTAATTTAATAGAAACAATTTTTAAAATAATAAATAAAATAATTCAATGTATCCATATACCAATCTAATAATTCTACAGATTGCAAAGATATTCAATTAGTAATTAATTAATCTAGCGTTGATTTTAAGTTAAATACACCCAGTAAGCAATTTGATAACAAATTGTTGCCAAATTGGCATCAAATTCGCTCAAAACTTGGTAACAAATTAAATCGTACATAAATAATTGAAGATACGACTTTAAATAGCACGCGCGTAACAATTAACGAGCGATTTTTATTATTAAAATAAACCTTACGTTGTCCATTGTTTCAAGGCTCTTGATAGCTCCTATGATCTTCTGATGATCCTCCTGAAACTCGTCTGCTAAATCCAGCGAATTTGTTTCATCATGGCTGTCTAGATATTCTAAAATTTGGTCTGTCAGCTGTTTTGCCATCTTGCATCAATTAGTGTATCCTATAATCAAATCGTACGTATAATTTATCGTAACCGGCAAAAACCACGTGGTACAAATTCGACATTAATAGATTCTCCAGTAATATCTACACGTACTGGCGTAATGTGACAACTTGTCACAGGACATAGACATAGAGGTATGAAAATAATTAGAAGGAGTATAAGGTCCTACTTTGTGCACTTCACTTGGCATTACAGATGTTTCGAAGCCTTTGATTGGATGCTTTCCGTTTAAACACAAGTTGACTCCGACTAACTCCAATTAACATAATGAACGTAATTGTTTATTAGATTGCAAAATAAAAAAATTTCTATTGTATTAAATACGATAATTATATCTTTATAAATTTTAGCGATTGATTATTCTAATTAATTAATAATGATTAAATGGAAAGAGAGAGAGAAAGCACTCATTGACCAATCAGAACGAAGAAACCTTTATCCTGATTGGTCAAACAAATCGAACATTTTGAACATTAGTGCATACTGTAGTGTAGTATGAATAAAATTTAATGCTCATAGAGAGGTCGCTTCGCAAAAATCATGTTCGAACGTGAAATTAAAAATTGAGAGACGTCTTTTTATTTTCCATAAAGAAACTGTCGAAAAATTAAATTAAATTGATGTATATATATATGTATATTCCCTTATAATTTTTTATTAATAGTAAAAAATATAACATCGATATATTTTGCAAAGTGATGTCCATGTGATTTGTGTATACAAGTGATTTAGTGATTATGTACTCGAGAACGCGATACTTTCGGTGTCATAACTGCGACTCTGTCAGATAAAAATATTTTTTTTCAAATTCATATCGATTATGTTGAAAAACTTACACTGCCAATTTATCAGATTTGTCCCTGAAGTACAAAGATTGTACAAAGTTCTGCCAAAATGGAATTGTCGTTACAAAATAATGAAATTTCAAACGATCCGGAGACCAAGGGTTTTAGTTTATCAGCTGGAAATACTTGGATATATCCGGAAAATTATCCAATCCGCCAATACCAGTATAACATAGTTAAATCAGCTTTATATCAAAACACCTTGGTTTGTTTACCCACTGGTAAGAAAAGAAATATTTGTTATTAACAACATAAATCAATTGTGCATAACTGCAATATATTTACAGTAATATATGTTATTATTTATATAACATTTTTGTCTTTGTTCTTGTTGCAGGTTTGGGAAAGACTTTTATCGCCGCTGTTGTGATGTATAATTTTTGGAGATGGTACCCATTTGGAAAGATTGTGTTTTTAGCACCAACAAAACCTCTTGTTGCTCAACAAATTGATGCCTGTTACGAAGTAATGGGTATTCCAAGTGTTGACATGATAGAACTTACAGGTTTTAATATTTTATTATCATTACTTTAATAGTACACATAGGTGTTTTAAATATGTTATATTTTATATGCATTTATGTTATATAAATGCATTACTTAATTTACAGGTGCAGTTAATCAAAAGAATCGTGTAGTTGCTTGGTGCAAGAAGAGAATAATATTTGCCACTCCACAAGTATTTCATAATGATTTGGAGAAAGCAATTGTTCCCAGTCATTTAGTCAAATGTGTTGTTGTAGACGAAGCTCATAAAGCTTTAGGCAAACATTCATACTGTGAGGTAAAGAAACATTGGAAATATATGAATTGCAAATTATTATTTCTGTAATAAATTAATAAGATTTATAATTTTTAGTGTATTAGGATTTTATACACACAGAATCAATATTTTAGAATATTAGCACTTTCTGCTACACCTGGGAATAAAATGGATAATGTTCATGAGGTGAGCAAAAATTTTCTGCTATATATGAATATTTTTTTTCATTAGAGATTGATTTTAAAAAAGCAATTATTTCATTATTCTAATATATGTTTTGTTATGTAGATAATACAAAATTTACGTATTTCCCATCTGGAGTTGAGAGATGAGACTTCAATCGATATAATGCCATATGTTAATAAAAGAAAAGTAGATATTATTTTAGTACCGCTTAGCCATGAATTAGCTGTATTCAAAGATAAATATATTGTTATTATGGATCGCCATGTTAAGTTTCTTATGCAATGTAATATATTACGAGCAGAAACTGCAAATATATCGAAAGGAAGGGTAATTAAATAACTTATAGAAATCATAATAATTTAATGATATATAGATTTTTGAATGCTAACTATATTTTTCAGATATTCCATTTATTAAAAGAATTCAAAGAAAAGACGGACAAATCTGGAAATTATGGGCAGATTATGAAGACATTGAATATATTATTGACTATGTATCATGCTTATGAACTTATGATCAGACATGGATTGCGTGCCTTTTGTAAATTTTATGAAAGTATGTTATTTGCAGTCTACAAACTATTATAATTAATTCTATATAAAGCATTCTACACAATTATATTTATGGGAATATTTATCAACATAGGTCGAAGTTAAAAAAATTTTATTTTGTAGCTCATTCTGATAAGTTTTGGATGCATAACGAAAATCAATTGAAAGGTTTACTTCATGACATAGAAACTTATCTTGGACCGTTTCCGGATATACTTCCTAATGGACACGTATCTGAAGTTTGTAAAAGATTCTGATAATATAGTACAAAACTTTATAAAACATATTATTTATAAAAACATATTATTTCAGATATCAGCAGATCTTGTATTTGGACATAATAAATTTCACAAATTAAAAGAATTGCTTGAACATCACTTTAAATGCAAAAATGATGATCGACAAGACACAAGAGCTATAGTTTTTGTTGAAGTTTGTATATCAATCTTTCATTCATTTTATACATAACATATAATATTGCTTTTATTTAATAATTGGAAATTACAATAAAAGCAAACATGCAATAGATATAAAGTATTTAATATTTGAAAAATTTAACATATTACTCTACAAATCTAGTACAGAGACATAGTCAATGAAGTCTATATTTTACTCTTGAAATCAAAACCAGTGATCAGGCCACAGATGTTTGTTGGCCAAGCTAGTCAGAAACAGAAGCAACAAATAAAAGCATTGGAGGATTTTCGAAGCAATCGTGTCAATGTGCTGATTTCAACAAGTATAGGTGGGTAAAAACGTAATTATTACAATAATATGCAGATCGCAATGTCATCTTAGTTAATCTATCATATTTATATAAATCTTCATAACTCCTATCAATCTTGAGTTTTATTAATTTCTTCGTAATGTATGATACAGGTGAGGAAGGATTGGATGTAGGGGAAGTAGACCTCATAATATGTTTTGATGTATCACAACATTCTCCAATAAGACTAGTTCAAAGAATGGGTAGAACGGGACGTAAACGAGATGGTCATATAATTGTTCTTGTTACAGATGGAAAGGAGCATGAGGTAATTAAAATGTTATATACTTCTTTACATACTTTCTTGCATTCCAATGTTATTAAAATACTTTGCAGAATTTGAAATCTACGCTTTCTAAAAGAGACTCCTTGAACAATAAAATATTAAACACAAGCAACATATTCTCTTCTTTATATGAGAATAATCCTAGGATGATACCAAGTCAATTTACTCCAGAATGTTACAAGATGCATATTATTGCACCACCAAAGACGCCAAATGTAAAGGATAAAAGAAAAAAAAAGAGAAATGAGAAAAAGGAAATCAATAAGAAAAATGAAATATTTACCACAAAACAGAAAGAAAGTGAGTTTTTTCCGATTAATTCAATTCAATTAATTTTTTTATATTCTATTAGTTGTATTTCTATAAGATTAGCAGAATTGTCTAATATCTTTCTTGTGAAAAATGTATATTTATGTCATTATATTTATTTTCACAGCCTCATCTATAAAAAAAGATACAAATCAATCATCGATGATGAAGTTTCTTACTAATAGTAAATGCAATGAACAGAGTCAGAATAATACATGTAATATTCTTACTCAATCAACAACGCAGTGTAATAATCTGCAAAATATGATAAATCCTAATAATATCAAACTGTTATCTGATGATAATGCAGGAGTCGATTTTCTTACACTATGCGCAGTAAAGAGATCTGAGGAAGAAATATCTTCCAAGTCTGTACATAAAATGGATACGACTTATATTCCTATAGCACAGCCAGTTAAAGATTTGTTCAATTTTGTATTGCCTGACATAGCAGTTATTGATTGTTTTTTTACAAGCTTTAAAGATATTTCAGCAGCAGAATGTAAAGGCTGTGAAGATGATGTACCAACGCAAAATAAAAATAATGAAGATGAAAATATTCATGACAATAATGATTGCATTGATATCGATGATAATAATTTTTGGTGTACTATCCGAAACGAAAATAACATTGATAACAACGAAATAAGATTCGAAGATATACTTGATGAGAGTTCCGATTCGAGCAAAACAACAATTTCATATCTAGACAAACAAATTAAAGATATTGAGATAAATTCGAGTAATATCAAAGTTTCTGTATCTCATACAAAAGATGATAATAAAGCTATGATTGATATAGGAGTAGAAGTACCAAATAACACAGCAGGCCTAGAATCTAGTTTATTTGAAAACATATTAAATGAGTCATTTAGTTCAATCGAAGATCATTTAGAAAAGGAAGATATGTCACGACAAAATACAGTATCTTCAAACTCTCCAAATGTTTTTTCAAATGTAAAAAAAAATAACGTTACTGATGAAAATACTGTTAATACCTTACATGACAAAGATAATACTAAATCTGATTCAAATCTATCATTATTTATGGAACCTGCTAAACCTAATCAAATAAATAAATTTATAGACGAAATACAAGATTTTGATTTTAATAGTGATGATGATATAAATGAATTTGTTAGGCATGAATCGAGTAGGAATAAATCGAAACATAATTCAAAGGCGGAAGAGAGCATGTTATCTATAACTCAAGCTATTAATGACATAGCAAAAATAAAGAAAGATTTGAAAATATCGCCGAAATCTTCTATATGTAAGGAAGAGTCAATTAACGAGAATAGCACTGGCTGGATTTCAGTAAATACCAAGAATGAAATTAAAATAAAAAAAAGAAACACGAGTTCGAGAATAGAAAAAAAGATATCAAATCTTTGCAATTCTACTGCGAAATCAGGTGCTACCAAACAGGATTTTTATTTCCCGGACGATTCCGATGAAGACTTCATGATCACAGAGGATAACGCAAAGAAATTTAATGAACTTGAAAGCTGTTATTTTCGCGATATGTCGAAAAACTGGGAGGATAAAAGTAGTTGTTTGCCTAGTACATCGAGAAATTCGGAAAATAAAACCAATTATTTTGATAATACATCGAAACATTCGGAAGCTAAAAGCTATAGCGATAATATGTCGAAAAATATGAAACCGCGTGGTACGTCAACGCCGACCAATAACAGACGTGCGGGATTGTCTTTAAAACGAAATAAGGTCCAATATCTAGATAATAATAAGATAGACTTGAGTTTATTTGAAGCATCTAGTAGATACATGAATAATACAAAAAATAAAAGTACTTTGGAATCTAGTTCGCCAAAGCAAATGGTTTCTTTGGATGAAACAATCGCACAGAAAATCAGACATGAACACAAACGTAGAAACAATGTTAAAAACGAGTTTATAGATGACGAAGCGGAAGTAGATTCTGATGCCAGTTCGGATGAAACCATTATTGTAGATGAAGACGATCTTGCAGATTTCGTGAGCTATACACAATATCAGCAAGATGAAGTTGACATGCAGGCGCATTATTTGCAAACTATTAAGAGCCCAATCAAACAACCGGGCGCCTTTCATTTCAGAAAACCACGGTCACCTGATTTAAACACAGAGATTTATTCACAGCCGTTGTCACAAGAGCAAGATTCGTATCTTTATGTACGTAAGTTATTTGATATATCATAAACTTTGTGTTTATCTTATTAGATTAGTGCATATAATCGATTCGATTTTTATATACAAGAGAAACTAAATATTTAATTTTGATTTCAGGATTCATTTTGCGTTAGAGAAGATATCGAGCCAAGTATCCTCGTCAATAACGATACAATATTAGAAAGAGCTGAAAGGGAATTAAAACGAAACAGACGAAGACGTCTCTGTTTGGATAAGAAGACGAGAAATGTCAAAAGGCAAAAGACAAATCATTCCGAGAGTAGTGAGGATGAGATCGAACAATTGCGCATACAAGTGCAAGAAGATTAAATAAAAGAAGGAACAAAAATTGAATCAAACTGTGATGATAGTTAGCGTCGATGATAGTTATACGCAATAAGAAATTTATTTTTAAATATGTACAAAGCATGTGTAAATACACTCGTTAAAGATTCGTTATTATTTTTATATAGTAATATTTTCGTAATAAAATTGTGTCGATCTATCTTTACAATCGGATAACATAATGATTTATGAATAACAGTGTATCTCTCGTCTCTTTCTTCCGCGAGATACGTGATTCCCCGTCTCGTCCAAAATCCGTGTTTTTTCCCCATTACTTATTCTAATGATATTTTTATGATTATCGTCATTTTTCAGCGACATATTTTCATAATTTATATCCGCTTTATATCGAAGCTTTATTTTATTTATTATAAAGTTTTATTTTTTATTTACCCACAATGAAATTATGAATTTACCAATAATGTTTGTTTTTAAAAGTTTACGATAATCGATAGATTACTTTCACTATAGTAACAGGCCTCAGTTCTGAATAAAATAATTGAAACATTATAATAAGAAAGTTATGGAAATATGATTATTTACTTATTTATCTATCTTTGTCTCTTTTAATGTGCAAATATCATGTTTGTTTGAAAATATTAGACTAATATACATATCAATGATACAGGGCATTTTTTAGCAAGCTATTCTTTCGAATTATACCCAGGTAGCAAAAGTAATTCTTTTGACGTCATTTTAATCTAATTTGACATCAAAATAACGTCAAACTGGCTACTTTTGCTACCTGGGTAACTATGGAATGCGTAAAGCCTTTTCAGGTATAAGGGACAAGTCATTAAAGATAGTTAAAAAGTTAAATGCAACGGGCATATATAAGGGCTGAACGCAAACGTCTTGCGTCAGTTCCGAATTCTTGCCGAGCGAAATTACTTCATCTTTCGAGATTATTGAAAAAGCGACATTACTACTAATAATAACCTAAGTGCAAGTTTTTTCTATAAAATTAAGTGTAATAATTAAAATTGTTGTATTATAATTTAATTATTATATAATTCCTATATGATATTGATAATTGAAAATTTTAAATATTTTTTTCTTCCAGGTAGAGAGAGAGAGAGACCTTGACATATCTTTGAAATTTTTAAAGGTTTTCATTTTATAAAATGATGAATTCTGCTGTGATTATTTTGATTTTGATTAGTAACGCGTATGCAAGAACAATGGTACCATTGTATCTTGAGGGCAAGAAGGTGCCATTAGAGCAATCAATAAACGAGCAATTAACTATCAATGGTTCGGCTCATTTTTCCGCGCAAAATAATAATCCTCCACCGTCTTCGCATCTCTATCCGACTTATCCGGAATACTCGAACAATAAGAACGGTATTTCACTGCGTACGGAATACGAAAGCTACATTATCCCGACAGCAACGGCTGTACAGAAAACTTCCGGATGGTCGTACGAAAATATCGTTTCCAGTTTAATACCTTTCGTCACCAGTCTGATTCTCTATGGTACTCGCGCTGGCACCTTCGTGCTGCGATTTTTGATGGTCATTCTTGTGGGTGTTGCTTCTACCAGTTTGATTTGCATACATACGTCGATTTGCAACATCAGTTTCCCGGGTAAAACCGAGGTAAGCCAAAATATTTTTGCAACTACGTGCCAAAATCTTCCTCGGGAATGAATATATATATGAGAACAATATATATATATATATATATATATACTTAAGAGCTAAACTTGAAATAAAATTATGTTAATACACATTAAACCATTTAATAAAAGAATACTTTTTTGGTTCTTTCTTTTTAAAAGATAATATAATATTTATTTATTGTAATTATTATAAGATTTATTTTTTGAATTATAAAATTTTTAAAATGATCTTTTCTTCTTAAATTTTATATTTAAAATAATAATAAGGATATAGCTATACAACACACTACATCGTTTCCACTATATACATACACATTCGTGTTTTTACAAATCTTTGATTATTTAATCAATTTATTTTTATATTTTTTTACATCATACTTATATTTTCCGATAATTTTAATTATAAAGAAAATACACTCGTAATGTGCTAGCGAATGGAAAGATAATGGCTATTACTTATAAGAATAATGAATATATATATTCATTTATGTTTGTAAGTTTTTCATTTATTCAAGTAATTATTTATATTATTTGATTTCATTGTTTGTGTATAGGTAAAGGAATTAGCCCGCACGTATGTTACGCCGGAAAATTTGGACCTCTTCACTATGATGATGACTAGAGCGCTCGATAAATACAGTTCTATGCAGTACAATGTAGATAAAGATGATAACAAGGAAGATAAAAAGTCAAACAAGATAAACAAACAAGATAAAAGTCAGGAACAATATGCAAAAGAATTATCCGACAATACGAAAATTCAGTAATACTGTTTTATACATTTTTATGCGCGGAATTTCTTTTGTTAAATATCGCTCACAAAATATTTAACATCTATGTAATTTGTTTGTCATTATATTTCGCATATATATTTTATACTATTATATCTGTTTTTATATATTTAGCTTTTCTTACTAATAAAGTTTTACGTGTCTGGAGATAATTTATTGATATCTACACACCAAATGTTTCAATATAAATGATAGAGTACCTTCGTAAAATTTATTGATTTATATCTTTATAATACGATAGTGTCATTATAAAAAATCCCTGTTATTCCCATGTCCTGCGTTCGATGATGTTTGCAAAGTATGATATCATTCAATTATCGGAATTTTTCATTTACTTTAAAAACCGCAATTGTTTAAAACGTCTTCCATGTGTTCACATGCCGGATTAGATTTTATCAAATACAAATCTCTTTGTTAGATGTGCAAAATTCTAAGAATTCTGAAGTTGGAGGAAATATGAATGTCGTAAATTAACGCTACGTACGTTTCTCTTGCTTTATGTTTTATCTCCAAATATATATAGGAAATAGTAAGAAACCCATGCAACATTGACAATTAATTAAACGTTTTAATTAGCCAGTTCAATATTAACATTAATAACATAATTATAACAAGTATACATATATAATGGTTCATATTTTGCGAATATATTTAAGCATTAGCATAACATTTTTTATACTAATCACAATCACATTTTTTTCAATAGAGAGAACTATCTTTTACATTTATTTCAAATGATATCTTTCGAACAGGATCTCTTAAATCTTAAATAGAAGTTCCAAAACATTAAAAATGTTATTCTTCTTATAACATTAAATAAGTGCACGCATATATTTTCAACTAATAAATTATAATATAAATAATTTATAATAAAATTTTTAT